AAACGGTTTTCAGTTCATTACAACATTGTATGAACTAGTTATTAAAACTGTTCAGAAAGAAAGGGGAGAAAATGGACTTGAAAAAATTACGTGATGGAAATTTTTGTCTACTTACAACTCTCAATTTATCAAAAACAACAGTTAAAACAGTTGTAAAAACCTTTACCTCTGTGTGCATTAATTTTCTTCTGCTTATGCGAATAAATGCGATCAGATTCTTACAGAGTAAAGGGACAATCAACATAAAAGTTTCGTTTCTTTCTGTTGTTATCTCATAATAGTTGAATTCATCTCTCTAACTCACTACACAGTACAAAAGTTAGATTTGAAAGTAGTGAGCATTTTTTTATGTTGATAAAAAATTAGCTTCCTGAATGTCGACAGATGACAGATGGCCATCCTTTCGATGAAATTATTTTTGTTATGATTGTTACCACAATATTTTTTCTAAACTATTGAAGCTTTCAGACATGTATTTCTGTAATTCGATCATTTCAGATTCTTTCTTATCAATAGGTGCATTTCCGCGTTTTCTGAGAAACAAAGTACACTAAAAAAGTGAAAGATAGATATTATTTTACATAATACTTTATATAACTTCTTATAATGAAATTTCTCCAAACTTATATTGGTTCTTTGTCAAAGAGAATGATACTGAGAATTTAAGAAATTGATCGACATTGAAAAGATCGAGTCCAAATTTTTCGACAAACACAAATAGTTGTATTACTTTCGGAATAATAAACAAGAGTGTACTTCTTATAATGGTATTTTACAATAGAGATGCGAATTTCACCGAAAGGAAAACATATCCCTTGTAAGTTGTTCTAATGTAGATTTGAACATGTTGACATCTGAGAAAAAAGACACGAAGCAGTCAGTCTGTAAACGATAAACAGTTATATTCACAGAGTAACGGACATAATCTTTAAAAAAAAAAGTTTACTACTCTTTGATTTTTTTCGAGTCGTCCCAAAAGCCTTGTGCAAAAATCTATGTCCTGATAAGAAATTGAAAAACGGAAGAAGAGGAAAATACATGAAGAAATAATTATTCTTTTTAATTGATATAGAAAGCGAACAATGCGTACAAATCTTTTTTCTGTGAGTTCTTCGATGATGTGCTGTGTAACAATTATTGCAGTCGAGTGATAAAAGCGCAATTTCTCCTTCTATCTTCAACACATGTACATACTTAAGCAGATTGGCTGTGATAATAACGAGACCAGTTAGACCACAAAATTGCAAACCTAACATTTTTCCTGCTATTCTACATGTGAAGATTAAAAAACGCTTTTAAATTTTTCTCGCGACGTTTGCACCATAAATTATACAAAAGATAACTAGAGCAATGGTTGTTCTCTTGCCAAAAAGAACGAAGGGTTTTCGAATCACAGATAAATATTAAAACAATGAAGAACCTAGTTTATCTATTACGAGCTCCTTTTATGTAAAGGTGGCGAGCATTCCCTTTCCATTGCAAGATAACTACATATACACAGTCAATGCAGATGTGGATCCTTTTGATGAACATGCTACGTGCTTTACCTCAATAAAGTTTCTGATATGTCTAAAGTATTTCTCTATTGCAAAATCAACGTGATTCCTTTCAGTTTTTAACCATAGTATCTGAGTTATGTGCATTTTACGCCCTGTCAAAGCCAATACACAACAAAATGAGTAAAACTTCATTTGTTCATCGAAATCTCCACCGACATCATTATGTTGTCAAGAAAAATGGTGTTGAGAATTTTGGAAAACAATCAACTTCACCAAATGAAAAAGTCAAATGATATCAGAGAACAAAACAAGAAGCAGGCAGCTTGTAAAATTATCATTGAGCTGAGTGACGGATAAAAGGATAACTATTCACAGCGCGAGGATTTTAATTTGTGTCGTCCAAAACATTGGATGTATCATCAATATTCTTACGGAAGAGGTTGGAAAACACCACACCAGAAAAGAGAAGCAGTTTCAACATTCAGATACTAAACATAAGATCTTTGTTTCTTTCTGTTCTCATATCAAATAGTTTAATTCATCTCTCTAGCTCACTCCACGGTACAAACTTTAGATTTGAAAGTAGTAAGCATTTCTTTTTTGTTGACATAAAATTAGCTTCCTAGATGTCAACAGATGGCGATCCTTTCGATGAAATTATTTTACCACAATATTTATTATAAACTATTGTAGCTCCCAGACTTATAGTTCTGTAATTCGATCATTTCAGTTTCTTTCTCTGTTTTTGGGATTTTATGTTACCCTTACGTGCATTTTCTGCGTTTTCTAAGAAACAAAGGACACGAAACACGAAAAAAGGAAATATGTGCGGAATTAATTATTCTTTCTACATGACACAGAAAGCGCACAATGCGTACAACACTTTTTTTTGCCGTGTAACAATTATTGCAGTAGAGTGATAAAAGCGCAATTTCTCCTTCTATCTTCAATGCATGTACATACTTAAGCAGATTGGCTGTGAGAATAAGGAGACCGATTGAACCACAAAATTCCAAACCTAACATTTCTCCTACTATTCTACATATAAAGATTAAAAAGCGCTTATAAATTGTTTCTCGCGACGTTCGCATCATAAATTATACACAAGATAACTAGCACATTTATGTATAGATCAAAACATCTGTAGTTGAAAGAGCAATGGCCGTTCTCAATGGCCAAAAAGAAGAAATAGTGACGGTTTTCGAATTACAGATAAATTTGAAAACAATGAAGAACCTAGTTATTCGATGACGAGCTCTTTTTGTTTAAAGGTGGCGAGTACTCCTTTCTTATTGCAAGATAACTACATGTACACAGTCAGTGCAGATGTCGATCCTGTTGATGAACATACTACGTGCTTTACCACAATAAAGTTTCTGATATATCTAAAGTAATTCTCTATTGCAAAATCAACTTGATTCCTTTGAGTTTTTAACCATAGTATCTGTGAGTTATGCTCTAGCTGTGCATTTTACGCCCAATGCACAACGAAATGTGTAAACCTTGAATCAATTCATCATAACACTTCATTTAATTCATTGAAATCTCATTTCCCTTCACCAACATTGTTATATTGTCAAGAAAAATTGTGTTGAGAATTGAAAAGTCAAATGATATCAGAGAACAAAACAAGAAGCATGCAGCTTGTAAAATTATCAGCTGAGTGACGGATAAAAGGATAACTATTTACAGCGCGAGGATTTCAATTTATTTCCTCCAAAACTCTAAATGTATCATCAACATTCTTGCTGAAGAGGTTGGAAAACACCTCAACAGAAAAGAGAAGCAGTTTCTTTGTAGGAAGGAAAATTCATACAATTTTGTAAATTCTTTCTTTTCTCACGTGAAATAATGGTTTATAGAAGACAATGTCAATCATTTCGTCGAGGTCAAAAGCATGCATAAAAATCATTTTCTATTTGAATGAGAACAATTATTGCATGTCACTGAGTCTACCTGAATCATATTTACAAATCTCTGTTGGCTTGATGTAAGCTTACAGTGAATATTGAGGTGGTTCTAAGGTAAGACAACATATCACTTCTGCTTCCAGTATTAGAACATTTAAACTGGCGTCTGATGAGAATAGAGAAAATTGTCAACGTGCGGAGTCAATCGACGACAGTGTCCCTCAAATTAACAATGAAACGGACAGATTGATTGAGAGCAAATAATTGTGATATGTTTTTTATGAAGAAAGGAAAACCAAAGGCCTGATTATCAACTTGGATGGATACCAATTGCTTTGGGACTGATGGAAGCAACTTAATTAACACTTTTAAAGTCGTACTTGGATACAACTCTTAAACGAGTTCTAAACCAGTATGCATATAACTTGTAAGTAAAGTAAATTTTAAATTTACGTTGGCAACGATGTCTACAGAAAGGAGAAAAATTTAAATCAAAAATAGAAACAAAATTAAGCATATCAACTTTACTTCCTTAGCATAAAACTTTGTGATGGTATCTTCAGTGGCCAAGTGGAGCTTCATCCTTGTTTTCTGTAAGCATCCCAGCTGTTTCCAACCACTATCTAATAATTCTAAGCTGTTTTAATTTTTTTCTAATGGAGGAGGAGAGGAGAGAGGAAGTTAATTAGTAGGATATCCGTCAAAGGAGGGCATTGAAGAGTTAAAGGACGAACGAAGATGGCATCTGCTGAAAGATGAGCAAGAGATCGTTATCTCTTGAAGATGAGTGTATCATGCAGCTTAACTAGGCATGTGAAATGGGGTACATTCTTTGTTAGAAGATGTCCAAGACTTCAAAAGTGTCCTATCTGAAGTCCAAATAAGGATCTGCTGCTTATTCTACCGGTGCATTCATTTTATGATATTTAAATCTCTTTCAAGTTCAATAAAAATTCATTCAAATTAAAATTCAATGAAATAATTCTACTGAAATATACTTGAAAACCAGTAACTAACCAACTTTCCCTATCCTCGATACACTTTTTTCCACAAGGAACTAAGTTTACGGTCTTAAACCGGTGAACCGGTGGCAATTTGGAATCGGAAGCTACCTGAAGCTTGGTGAGCCCCAGCCCTGACCGAAAATATATGTTGTGTTATTGAGCAAGTTTCTTCATAGAAAGTCTGTGCTTATTTTTTCGTTTAGTTTATCTTGTTTCTGTGAACGAGATAGCTCATTTTAACCTTTGCGGAGTAATATTTGGATTGTTTTTAAAATTCTATTCACCTTGAAGTTTTGAAATCGTCTTTAGTTTTCTCCCAGCTCGAGCGGAGGTCGATTTGTGGGTATTGCTTCATTCTCTCCTGTGCGGAGAGAGTGAAGCATATGTTTTTACATAAGGTTTGTGGAATGGTTTTAAGTCTAATAGATGATTCAGAAGTAAACGTGCTTGCAAGACAGAGCTCAGCTTTTATGCAAGCCACCGCTTTTTGTACTACCTCATTCTTTCTTTTTCATGGTCTTTATGTACCATCTATAATTTCTTTATAATAACCAATTGCTTTTGTTGACTTGTTGCATTTATTGCAGGTTTGTTTGAGTATGATAAGCAAGCACAAGGATGGGAACGAGTCCAGGAGCTTAACGAAGCAAAAGTTCTCTCAGTTCCACAGGGACACTATGTGGAATTAAACTTTACCATGCGCGGCAAGTGGCCACTGCTGTGCCTATGGGATTTTAATCTTGAAATTCGTGATGGCAGTAATCAGTCGGCCAATTTTCTCGGCGAGTTCTGTGGAGATTACGGAATTGGAGTGGTACGATCCAGTGGACGATACATGTGGTTGAAACTTATGTGGAAAGGGCTCTATGATTTCGCTGCATTCTATACTGACAGATCCAACGATGAAACAGGCATGGAGTTCCTTCCTATGTAAATAAATATACACCCAACTTGAAAATATATATTAATTATATATACCTTTCCCTTTTTTGAAAATATTCGTTTTCAAAAACGTTGCAAATTTGTAAATATATATCAAATACGAAAGCTAAGTTTTTCGTTTGTCTCACGATATAGTCACGTGTGATGTAGATCGCGACGTTTCGACTGCATACTGCTAGTTTTCTTCGGGCGATGAGGTCGACTGGTCATGCGAATATGTGAATTGCCTCTTTGACCCTGCGCCTGCAGTAATAAGGGTCACGATCAATAAACTTTACTTCGTTCCAGAGTGGCTTGTGTCCGGTGTTGTGGGCATGCTCTGAAACGGCGGAGGTCTCGGTACGGGCGAGTCGAATGTCTCGATCGTGCTCCTTAATTCTGTCTTGCATAGGTCTTCCAGTCTCTCCGATGTACACCTTGCCACATTCACAGGGAATTCTGTAAACTACGTCATCTTGTTTAGCCGGGTCGACAGCATCTTTTGCTCGTACTAACTGAGATCTTAGCGTAGTCTCCGACTTGAAAACAGCGCGTACGCCTTGTTGTTGTAGGCAACGGCGAAGACCTTATGTTAAATTCCAAAAGCGTGGATGCCCACGATCAAAAAACACAACAACAGGAGAGCCTGGACTGTATCACCCATGTTCCAAACACGTCGAGACCGACGCTGGTAAAGGGAGGCCCAATCTCCGCTCTGTCTGGGGCAGGTCTGCCATCTTTTGCTCCAGTAGAAGACCAAGTAGTTTCTTGCACAAGATGCAAGAACTGATCAACTTGGCTATGGCTCCATGGCTGCCTATCAGCCAATATCCGACATTTATCAGAGCTCTAGACTGCGAATGTCTTTCGCTAGATCCTCCACCGCAAAAGGCTTCCATTACACTCACGGAGTTTGACACCAGTTTATGGAGCCTGAGGTTTGCACTGGTGAGAGTGGCTTCGGTGCTCTTCACCAAAGTGATGACTTCATCTGCAGTAGGCGTCGAAACCAGGCCATCATCGACGTAGGAATTTCGTTCGACGAACTCCTTGACGTCAGCCTCCTCGCCGTGCTTTACCGTTTTCCTCAGTCCGTAAGTTGCCACAGCTCGACTTGGCCCGTTCCCAAACAGATGGACGGTCATCTGGAATTTTGCGATTGGCTTCGAAGGGTTGTTCTCCTCAAACGACAAGAAGCGCAGGATGCGATGCTCTGGTGAGACATGGAACGAATGGAAAATTTGTTCTACATCACACACCGCAGCCACGTCTTCGTGTCAGAAGCGGACAAGTACTCCGAGTAGAGTGTTCATCAGATCTGGTCCAGCGAGTAGTTCACGGTTAAGAGATTTGCCTTGGTATTCTACGGAGGAATCGAAGACGACTCGAATCTGTTCCGGTTTTTTCAGATGATACACGTCGAAGTGAGGCAGGTACCATATTCGTCCAGGGGATTAATTGCAGGATATCTCTCTGTCAGGGACCAGCACTGCATGACCCTTGTCTAGCATCTTCGACATGAATTCAATATAATCTTTCTCCATTTGTGGTTTGCGTTTTAAGGTGCGTGCAAGCTTATGTAAGCACTCTAGCTTCTGTTGTTAGGCATGAAGACATTTGTTGAGCAAAAGGGTAGGGGCATTTCCCAGTTCCCAAGCTGGTTCTTATGAATTCCTTTGTCCATGATCTTCGTGAACCTTCGGTCTTCGATCGACAGACTGACGTCATAATCATTCCGGGTTACGCTGACCTCTCTGTTACTTCCAAACGTTGAAAGGAAATACTTCCACTCCGGGCCGTCCGCATTCAACTTGTCCGCCAGCTCGGTAGAAATAATTGAAGCGTTGCTCTGGTCATCCATAATGGCGTATGCTCTATGCGCGCCTCACAGTGATTTTCTCCGTAGATATCGACCGATACACTTTTGCTGCAGGAAAGTCCACCGGGGGTGCCTTTGCATACCAACGTGTATTTTGCGTTCACGTTGTCTTGGCTGTCGTCGACCGTGCCTGCTTCTTTTGCTCTCTCCTTTTTCTCTGCACTGCTCAAATGAAGAAGGTCGAAGTGCCTTCGGCTGCCACATATTCTACACTTCACGTTCTCCCTATACACGCTGGCTAAATGATGAAATTAGAATCAGTGGAGACTTAGCCTTTCCTTTATATTTGTTACTCTTCGTCCGTATCTGACCTCCTTGGTACTTCCACACGTTAAAAGGAGATACTTCCATTCCAAGCCGGCTGCATTCAACTTGTCCGCCAGCTCGGTAGAAATAATTTTCTCTGTAGATATCGACCCATAATCTTTCGCTGCAGAAATGTCCACCGGGGGCGCCGACGTTCATTTTGTGTTAATGTTGCCTTGGCTGTCGTCATCTGTGCCTGCTTTTTTAACTTTCTGAAAATGGCGACGTCCCCGTCAAAGACGTTAGGTTGGCATTTGGGCAGACCCTGCTTAGCTAGACTCGCGACGAGTTGCCGGTTGGTTGAAGTGAAAGTTTCAAGGGACATTGTGTTGAAGGCTCCCTTGTGTGTAGAGTATCACACTGGTTGTTTGGTAGCAAGTATGGGGGGATTCAGATAACCTCACGCGCCATGAGTGCATGGGGGCTCGTCTGGCGTATTCTTCGGATGCGGCTCATAATGGGTCCTTTCCACCACAAAATCCGGGAGCGGCGGTAGGATTTAAACTTCGCCAGGTGCCTCTCTCTCAGTAAAGGACGGTCCGTCGGAGAAAGTGTGTCCCGCAGGATGGTGTGTCTCTCATCAGGGTGGTATTCTTCCATGGGAGTGTACGGAATTCGTATGGGGGTTACGTATTCGCTCGGGGCGGACTAGAATGGACCCATGGACCTCAATGTTCTCCAGTTATTGGGCGTCTCGGCAATTTTTTCCACTGTCGCGTTCTCGATTGCGGTTGCACGTCAATCGAGATAACGCCGTTGAAATCGTGTACCACTTTAAATCATATATATATTGAAAAATCAAGGGCCAAATAAACAAAAATACTCGAACCGAAGAAGTGAAACAACGAAAATAACGTAGAAAAAAGCGATCACTTACATTGTCTAACTCCTAAGAGAGAAAAATACGAGGTATTTTCCTTCTGCTTTATTTTCCTAGTGCGATTTGAAACCTCTAAGTTTTCTTCCAAAATTAGTTATACGAATTACGATTATTAAACATTAACTATAAAAAAAAGGTTCGAGGCTGACTCGCGTCACATAATTGGCTATTCAGTCTTTGGCCGCTAAACAATTCAGTTCGAATATACGTTTCTGTAAATAAATCGCGCGCGTTTCAATAATTCACCAAAATGTTCATTGGAAAGTACAATTAAAAAAATAATGCTAAGTTTAACATGAAAACCAAAATTAAAAAATTTTGGCACAGGAGGGTTTACCGTATCCTTAAATGACGCAGACAGACAGGCGGAGACAGAGAAAGGCGCAGAAGGATACAAATAATATTCACATGTTGCTTTGGCCTGAACATTGAAATGTGTCAGGATTAGAATGATATTTTTTGATGTGGATGTAAAATGGGTTATCCTCCCATGCTGTGTCTAAGATTTAGTTGTTCTGTGTACATGTACCGTAGTCATTTCAACAATTACTTCCTTTTTTTCTTTGAAATCTAATATAGTCAATCCTACGATGGACCCAGCTCCGAACCTGCAGTATGTATTTTTGAACAGAACCTTTAACATGTGGTGCCCAGTAAAAGGTGCGCCGGCTCCATACATTGTATGGAGAAAAGATGGTGACTCTGTTCAAAATAGTACCAGCATAACATTTCAGCATAAAATAACTTCGAAAAACAACGTGAACTACAGCTGCGAGGTAAGAAGAGATGGAGAGGTATTAACAAGGAACATCAGCCTCAGAATTGAAGGTGAGGTATCATTGTTTTTGTTGAAGTATATCAGTACTTTCCGTGCATATTTTGACTGCCTAAACCCGTCCTTTTTTATTTACTCAAAATTCTAACCACTCAAAAAGCGGTTAAACCACTTTCGTTGTTGAACGTTATTTAACCTTTCAAAAGTCGTCTTTCTATATCCCTTTAATTTAACCTGTATGCTTTTTCCAGTATTGAATGCTAATTATTGGTAAGATGAGTTATCTTCTGAAAGGGACAGCGTAAATGATTAGAAGCAAAGGATATTCTCACATTTATTACGCCTAAACTTACTTATTTCGATTTCAATTGAAGTTACTATGCCACAGTTTGTCGATTTTGGCGCCTGCATACAGTTTACCTGAAGTTCGTGTTTTCGATCTCTGATTCATGATCAGTTTTCGAACTAACCTCGTTCTTTTTGAAGGGTAATTTTTACGTCGTAACTCTGAAGTGTTCGTTTAATCTTGGTAACTGTGATTTTACCGTTATGTCCGATCCAAATGAAATATTCTTCGTTTCTAAAACAACTGACTTAACCATTTCAAATTTGAAGCCTTTGATGAAGAATTTTAACCGCCATCACTTTCTTTCCTCATTTTAGAGTGCCCAGACCCCTGTGAATGTGACGTCTCCCACCAAACTATCATTAGTGTGAATTGTAGTGGAAAAGAATTTAATTCAATTCCATGGAAATTTCCTCTTGCCATGTCAAAATTGTGAGTACCACTAAACAGTTTTAAACACCAAGAAAAAAAAATTGGTCTAGAGGAATGATTCTACACTAAAAGCCTTATTCGTAAAGGAATCTCTCTCATGCTATCGTAGGTCTACTTCCCCCCTTAAGGCCTTATTCTCAAATGAGGTCCTTTCACGCCATTGTAGAACTCAAATCAACTAGGACAACCCCAGGACAATGTATAATTTACCATGACTGATAGACGAGTTGTGGGAATTCTTCATGGGCACAATGCTCTACACAGGATTGGCTGCATCTGCCTAGAGTCTACAAGAAAGGATGTGATCTTAAAATAATTTAAGAGAGATCGGCTCAAAAATGAGGCTATCATGTGGGATTTAGTCATTTAACTTGATACTCTCTTAAAACTAGTGACGTGCATGTCCTAAACCGTGCACGTTAAATATCCAGCTTTTAGTATAATAACAATGTGGAAAATGAGGGATTTGCTTTATAGGATCAACCAAAGTGTAAGTTGTTAGTGCAAAATTTGTTCTTGTTGGATTCTTTGCGTGTTCAAAGTTCATTATTTAAGTCTTTTCACCCGGTAACCATAGCGAAAGTTTATACTTATTGTTTCATTAGCGCCTTTTTTGTTATTTTATTGCCACCTTATTGCCCCCCTATTGCTACTTCGCATAATTTATCGATGTAACTATAGCAGTAATATACCTGTTTTCGCTCGCCCTTTCCTTTTCTTTTTTTCGGCCGTAGCAGTTTTGCAATTACAGTATCAATCTTGGTCTTTTCTGTAACCGTAACAGTGTTAGTGTTTTATGGTCCCCTTTCCGTCGTGTTGTTTGTTATTTCTTTATATCGTATATTATGCCACGTTTTGTAATGGTTTATTATTTTAGTTTCAACTTACGTCATTCCCGCTTTTGAGGAATTTAAGTGGATTGTATTTATTTCTACAAGACGTGGAGTTGTTTTTCCCGTGGCCACAAATTTCGCGTAGTGCAGTTTCATCGTTAAAAATTGCTGCGGGTCACGCTGTTCCATCATGAGTAACAGGACTAGTCAGTTTACGGAGCCAATTGGTCTACAAGTCGGTGCTCGTGTGCAACAACCGAGCTGTATATTGGTCTTGGAAGCCGTTAAGCTGGAAATAATTTGCTCAAAGAAAAATTCGAGATCAGTTTACGCATCCGCCGATATCGCGAAATCGAGCAAAATTATTGGTTTGATATCAGATGACCGGAACCTTCAAGAAGTGAAAGAGAAGCTTATTCATGTGGATAACGCTTTCACAAGACTCCAGGAAGCTCATCACGATTATAGCAGCGAGAGTATGGACGAGGATGGCATCCTTAAGTACCAGCTTTATCTCGGAAGTGAAGAAAGAAAATTCGGCTTATTCCTTCAGCAGATAACTGGCCGACTGGATAACTGTGACTGAAGAGAAACTCCTCGCAGACTCGCTTCAACTAGATTCAGTTGTAAAACCTGAAGACTCAATAAGCTTTGCTGGCGCGTCAGAACCATGAAAGGCATCAAGAGCCTTTAATGCTTCTAAGCTTTCAAAACTCTCAAGTGGAGCAAGTTCGCGTGGCAGCCGCGCCTCATCAGTCGCACTTGCTAGAGCCAAAGTCGCCAAATTGAGGGCCGAAATTGCCATGCTTGAAAAACGTCAAGCTCTCGAGGAGAGGGTTTCTTTTGAAACAGGAAGAGTTCTGCCTTGAATTGGAAGCTGAAATGGCGAGAATCAGCAAAGGAGAGAGAGCCCTTGCTGCGGAGAATCGGCAAAGGGGAGAGCCCTTGCTGCGATGAACACCCCATTTTTACCGCAGCTATGGCCAGTCACATTGGAACTGCGGTTCAATGAGTACTACCCAGGAAGAAGTTCCATATTCAAAACAGGGTGATCCTTGTAATTTTATTCTACGTGGCCCACATAGTCTTTCTGCGCCCACAGCCAGTGAAGATTTGAGGAGAGAGACCATCGAATTACTACGACAACAGAACGCCCTTCAGCTTCAACAGAACAGGATAGTTGAGTTACTGGCACTGAATCAGAATAGACGCAAACTTCCGCAACTTAGCGTTCCCGTCTTTGACGGAAATCCCATTGGTTACCGCACCTTCGCTCGAGCTAACGAGAGTTTAATTGAGTCTAGAACATTTAGCAGTACCGACAGGCTGTACTACTTGGAGCAGTTCATGGCGGGAGATGTTCAAGAACTTGTACGATCCTGTCACCTGCGTGCTCCTAAGAAAAAAATTTGGCGATGAATAATACATAGCATTCGCTTACGAGACAAAAGCTTTAGACTGGCCAAACATAAGAGCTGAGGATAGTATGGCTTTAGACTGCTTTTCGATCTTTTTGGCAAGCTGTAAAGGCGCTCTGGCAGGAAGTCGATAAAGCTTAAAGTTCGATTAGACGGGAAACATTTAAAATTTTGTGCTCAAGCTTCCTTACAATTTGAGAGAGAGATGGCGTCGTACAACCAACGACATTATGGAGATACAGTCAAAGCCTGTGGACTTCAGCAACCACATTGCTTTTGTTGATCTGGAAGCTAACATGGTAACCAATCCAGTCTTTGGCAGGATCTCTGACAGCGTTAAACCAGCGACTGGTCAGCGATCATGTGGTGGCAAGACAGCCCCTAAAAGAGCCTGAAAATCTCAGTTTACTAACGCAAGTAGACGGATGTGAATGTTTCTCTAGCGAGCAAGGCCTGCCTGATGAAAGTGGACCGAGCACTCGTGATTATCGAGAATAGAGTTTGCAGTTTAGCGAGGTACAAGTATCGCAAAAAGCGTTGGTATCTCTATTGTAACATATCGTGCCCTTGAAGATTGTCTGTCATTGTGTGGGAATCCGTACCAAAAATTAATATAGTTTCTGTGCTTCGTGTGCCTCTCCAATCAGCATATATCCTGATTGCCACTGATGTTCCCCAAGTCCTTGATCCAGTCAAGACGGAGGTCCATACGCTTCAAACACGTATCGGCTGGGCGGTAAACGGACACTTAGGTCATCATTGTCACGATTCTCAGGCATCAGGCTTCTTCGCTAAAGCCGATCTTCAGCTCCAACGGCCGGTAGAGGACTTCCACAATCAGGACTTTGCAGATTCTATCGTTGAAGATAAGACAGAGATGTCTCAGGACGAACGTCGTTTCATGCAAAACGCTGAAGAAATGGTAGAGTTAAGAAATGGACACTATCAAATCTCTTTATCATTCAAAAATCGTCAGGCCCCAGTACCAAACGACATTTCTCAGGCTACGCAGCGCGCAAACTGGTTGAAAAGGAAACTGGAAAGAGAGCTAAGATTGTTGGAAGGTTACAAAGCCTTCATGGAAGACGTTGTGTCTGAGGACTAAGCATGTAAAGTTCACCCTGACCAGAATAATCTCGAACAAGGCAGAGCTTGGTACATACCCCATCATGGAGTATATCATCCCCCCAAACCGGAGAAAATTTGGGTCGAATTTCGCACTCCGTAACACAGCAGAAGATAATCAGCTCAGCTTTCGTCCAAGCGTCATAAACATTTGAAAGGAACTTCTATGTGGACGACTGTTTAAAGTCCTTTCCTTCCAACGCTATTCAACACGTTGACAGTTTACGAGTCCTACTTTCACGTGGTGGTTTTTAAGATAAGCAAATGGATCAGCAACAGCCGTAACGTCCTTGAAACCATTCCTGAGTTGGAGCGATCAAAAGACATCAAGAACATTTACGCACGTAAGGACGAATAACCTGTTCAGTGAGGTTTTAAAGTACAATGGGGCGTGGTGTCCGACTCGTTTCGCTTTAAAGTCTGTATTAACTCCAGTCCTCCAACGCGCAGAGGTATCCTGTCCGTGGCCGGTAGTATCTTTAATCCCTTAGGTTTCCACGCATTCTTCGTTCTCACTGCAAAAGAAATTCTTCAAGACCTGTGTCGTATCAAGGTAGGGTGGGATGATGAGATCCCGGATGAGTGCAGTTCACGTTGGGAGAGCTGGTTAGTGGATCTTCCAAAGCTTTCAATTCTTACTGAAAGTCGCTGTTTAAGCGGATTTTGGTCAAGTCAAATAAAGTCAACTTCATCATTTCTCGGATGCTTCTGAGGCTACCTTCGGCTGAGCGTCCTACTTTCACTTGGTCGACAATAAAGGCAGGGTTCATTGTCCTTTCCTTTTAGGAAAATTGCACGTTGCCCCTTTGAAAGCCGTTTCGGTTCTACGCTTAGAACTCTCAGCCGCGACCGTTTCTTTACGCCGGGACAAGATTGTCAAGAGAGAGTTAGATATGCCACTGAATATTGATTCCGTACTTTGGACAGACAGCATGTCAGTTCTTCGTTTTGTGAAGAATGAGAAAATGCGTTTTCACAGGTTCGTTGCCAACTGAATCGCAATGATGCTAGATCGTTTAACTCCTCATCAGTTACATTATGTAAAAGTTGCAGCGACCCCCGGTGATTATGGGTCAAGAGGGACGACCGCCGAAGCCTTGATGACTTGCCAAAGATGATTAATGGGCTAAACTTCCTATGGTAGCCGGAAGGAGATTGGCCTCAGGACCCTTCGTCGCTCGTTACTATCCCAGAAGAAGATGGCAGTCGGCAAGCTCTTCTTGGCGTCGATATTTGAGTCTGTTTACCCTTTGGTCGAGTACTTTTAGATAACATTTTACCGGCATCGCCTGAAAAAGTCAGTTACGTGGCTGTTACGATACCGTAAAAACTTTCGAAGCTTTGAAAAGCGCGAGAAACCAGCAAAGTCGCTTGAATCTGTCCTTACCAGCTCTTTGCCTTTGGTCATTGTTGACGAGATGGAATTCGCAGAACTAGAGATCCTCAAGAGTGTACAGAAGTTTAATTTTCAGGAAAAACTCGAGTCGCTTAACAAGAGTGAGAGTGATGGGCACGTAGTTCTCTTCAAAGCTTGGATCTCATCTTAATGAATGATTTCATGCGTGTCGGTGGGAGATTGAACTTGGCGTCCATAACATTTGAGGCTGAGTATCAGATTATTCTGCCCAAGAATGACCACGTGACCAACCTCGTAATTGAGCATTATCATCTGCTCTCTGGGCACTCTGGCAGAGATTTTTGTCTGAAGTCTGGCGCGCGAGAAGTTTTTGATCATGAATGCCAGTTCAGTCGTAGGAAGAGTACTCTCCAAGTGTGTTGACTGTCGGCGCCGCCAAGGCCCAGTCTATGAACAGAAAATGGCTGACCTCCCTGTTAGATCGTCTGACCAAATTTACTGGAGGTGAGCGAGAACTTAGGGAATCCATCAATGCATGGAATCACAGCAAAATCCATGAGGCTCTACTACAGAAGAATACCAAGTGGATATTTAACCCCCAAATCGGTCAAATTTCGGAGGCGTTTGGGAAAGCTGTATTCGCACGTTCTAAAACGAGGATTCTTTGTGGTGACGCAGGTGGAGACAAGAACAATATCTTGCTGAAACTTTTGGAAACGATGGTCTGGAGAATATCTGCCCCTGCTTCAGAGCAGACAAAAATGGACATTGCTTTGTAAAAATCTAGCCGTTGGAGATATTGTCCAGATCAGCACAGAAAATTCACCTCGCAACACGTGGCCTCTTCGTAGGGTTTTCGAAGTTCTCCTCGACAGGAAAGGTTTGGTTCGATGTGCTAAGGTGAAAGTAAAGAGAACTGTTGTAGAGAGACCGATTGATAAACTGTGCCTGCATTTGGAAGCTTGAGCTTTCCCGCCGAAATGACTTTCCTGTATCTCACGACTGTATCTAATCGAGGACTCTTGAAAGAGATACTTAGAACTAATTCAATTAAAACATAAGTGCTTCGCACGCACTCCGCACTTAGGGGCCGGTATGTAAGTTCCAAGTGCGACACTTTTTCGTGTTGGATTCTATGCGAGTTTAAAGTTCTTTATTTAAATCTTTTCACCCCGTAACTAGCGAAAGTTCATACTTATTGTTTCATTTGCGCCTTTTTTGTCATTTTATTGCCACCTTGCTACTTCGCATAATTTATCGATGTACATATAGCTGTAATATGCCTGTTTTCTCGTTTTTCACGCTAAGTGCAGTTCAGTAACATATCGCCGTTTTCGCTCGTCCTTTTCCTTCTCGTTTTTTTGGCCATTGCAGTTTTGCAATTTCAGTATCAATCTTGATCTTTTCTGTGGCCTTAACAGTGTAAGTGTTTAATAGTCCTCTTTCCGTCGTGTTGTTTGTTATTTCTTTATATCGCATATTGTTTGTTATTTTAGTTTCAACCTCCGTCGTTTACGCCGTTGAGAAATTAAAGTGAATTGCGACAGTTATTTCTACGAGACGTGGAGTTGTTTATTCCGTGGCCACAGATTTCGGGTGGTGCAGTTTCACTAAGAGTGCAATTAGTTGTGAAGCCACGCTAAAGAATAATTTACACTGAACTTAAGTTCTAACTCTTAATTTTAAACAAAGGTCGCAGCACGCGAAGCTGAAAACGTCCCGTATTACCTCACTAAAAAACATAAAGTTATCAGTCCAGTTTAGTTCGTCTGCCGATGTGGCGACGAATTTACTTTGCGCTACTTTTTCACCATTGTAATAATTGACCAGAAATCAATTGAACTATCCTCATGTCTGGGATACACAACATTATTTATATGGCGAATACAAATAAAATTAAATTCTTCGACAGAGAAATTTGAACTATAAACAATTACTTAATACCAAAGGAAGTAAAAGAACGCCAATCATAAGAAGCACTGCATGAGCCAATTGCTAGTGCTGCTCTGACCATTGCAAAGACTTAGTGGCCAACTGGTGCGGGTGTTTGACTCCAGATTGACAGATCCGGATTTATGCCCAGGCCAGCTCATTGTGTTTTGTTGTTAGGAAAAAAATTGTGCTTTCCAGCCAGGGGCTAAAACCAGAGACGACGAAAACTACATACACACCGAAAACTACCGATGAAGTTCCCGGCAATGGGCTATCGTTCCCTCTAAGAGGAGTACCTTTACTTCCAGTCTCCCAATGCTTCAGAAGTGACAAAAAATCTGCGGTAATGGATCATTAGGCTAGCGAGAGTAACCTTTGATTCAACACACGGTCAGACAACGCGTGATCATCAACATAATCATGCTATGTTCAGTGTTAATATTCCTTTAATTTCCAAGTGTGGTAAAAGGCACTAAAATACTCTACATTAAGGTTTCATAGAAGTACTGGGTCCACGACTTATAAGTTATCTATTGGTTGCTTTCTTTATATATTTCCTTATAGTTTTGACTATGAAGAGATTAAACGTTCAAGTGTCATTCTTATCGTAACGGTTTTAATCAGCATGTACTTTAAACGTTTCTAACGATATCTTGGTAGGTACTTAAGCAACAACAAGCTGAGGGACTTGCCCAATGGCATCTTTAGTAATTATACCCAGCTGGAATGGCTGTAAGCCAAGACTCATTTTTATCGATCATAAAGTGATTAATAAAATCAGTATTTAACACGTTCATAATGATTCTTGATAGGAATGTGAGTAGCAATAAGCTAAAGAACTCCTCTCCGAGTAATCTACGGTTGTAATGCCGAGCCTTTCTAGCTCCCAAAAATCATGTTCAGCTCCTCCCAACCTTTGCATGAACTCCTTAAATATACCTGAACTCATTACTTCAGTCACAGTGTCAGTGACACTGACTGACGTATGATCTTGTAGCCCGATCGTCCGGGTACGGGTAGTCCTGAGAAGGAATGTTATTGACTGGCAACAATTCTTCCATCGACCCATACGGTGACCTCCGCCGGACTTATCAAAACGTTGGACACTGGTTCCGAAAATTACTACGGGAGCGAAATTACGAAGGGGGAAACTTCCAGTTCCCCTCGACCGCATCACTGGTGATCTTTGGTGTCACTGATCTCGGGAGAGGAAACAAATTTCTAGGATTAGTTTTTCCTCAAGAAAATGAAAAGTTCCCCTACCTCCCTGCCCTGCTATTTACCCAAAACCCTCCCTCCTTTAGGCTCCTAGTTTATGTAGAGCTTCCCAATCTAAGAATTAAGGCACAGTCCCCAAAAATAAAAATACTCAACGTGAAAATGGAACATGCACACTTGCAGTTCTGGTTAAGCACAAAATAGGTTAGATTCATGGCTGATGGAAAATAAAGGATTACGTAGCTTTTCTGAGCACCTATAACAAAGCATGCAAGGAAATATTGCATTACCGGATAAACTCCTTAATTTAACGTTATTATCGAATAAATCGTAATGAACACCACCCTCTGTCACTTTTTGGCAGGGAAATGAACAACAACCTGTTGAAGGAATTACCATCAGGCATATTGAGTAACAATACCAAGCTGTCCATTCTGTAAGTTAGGGCCCTTTCTTCTTTTTGTAAAGAATGCCTTAAATCCATCTCACACTAGGCAAGATACCAACAGATCAAAGCACGCTAACTCTTTACGGTAAACATTCATAGTTCTGATCAGACAGAGGCACCGAAAATGAAAGATTAAAACAGAGATTAAATGAACCAATCAAAGTGCTTACAAGAATATATTTGCTGGAGAGTGTAGAACCAGGGTAAACAATCTGATCTAAGAACAATATCTTGTGGGATCCCTCGGGGTTCAAGTCTGGGTCCACTTTTAATTTTGGCGTCAATTAATGATTTGCCAAATGCCTCAAACACACCACACCTCGAATGCTTGCCGACGATATCAGCATAACAGCCAACGGGAAAAGTATTGACGAAATCGAATTGGGGCTTAATGAAGACTTAGGTAAAATTAGATTATGGCTACAAGCAAATAAGCTCAGCCATAACGTTGCGAAGACAGAATATATGTTCATCAGTTCACGTCAAACATTGGCCAGGCTTTCCTTTGAACCAAACGTTTGAATTGGAAGAGATCCCCATCAAAAGAGTCAAATATACCAAAACAATCGGAGGTTACGTTGATGATTCTCTAACATGGAGAAAGCATGTAAAAGAAGTATCTAAAAATATTACACCAGGAATAAGTGCTTTAAAACGGCTCAGATATTTTGCAAGTCGAGATGTACTGTTTCAGTTTATAATGCACTAATTATGCCTCATTTTGATTATTGTTGTAAGGTTTGGAATGTATTAGGTGTACTAGCCGAAAGGTTGCAGAAACACCATAACAAATGTGCTAGGGTAATTATGCGTTACAAAAACGAGGCTGGAAAGTCTGAATTAGTCCTACATCATCTTGGCTGGAGTTTACTGAGCGAACAAAGATTTCTTACTAAGGCTTTAAGGTTCTCCAAGACTTGGCACCTGCGCAGCTTTCGAATATTTTCAGGGACTCATGCTCGAACAACAATTATCATTTAAGTAACACTGATAATTACTTGGCCATTCCTTTGCCAAAGACTGAATTTTTAAAGAAGAGTTTGAGCTTTAATGGTGCCAAGATCTGGAACTCCTTTCCAAATGAAATACGTAGTTCTGAAACTTTGGCTTCGTTTGATGAGCTTATTTCAACCTATAGACCAACTGTGAAATAATTTATTTCTTATGGATTATATTTAATGCATTGACAGTTTAATTCATGAATATTAGTGTATACATATATATCTTAAATAGTTTTTAGCTTTTATAGCTGGTTCACGCCCTTACTGGAAACTAGCTTTTTATGATATTAATGATAGGGTAGCGTATTTAAAAAAAGTTAATCTATCAATCTATCTAGTGACATGGCTCAACTGTGGCAGACAATGAGTATATAGCTTCTTCCTAAGCGCCACTGAAAAACATTTTTGATGATAGAAATTTCTTTGTTCACGAAAACAATGTTGATAACACCATTTTGAATTATTTTTGGTAGGTTTTTAAGAAACAACAAGTTGGAAAAATTGCCATCGGGTATTTTTGATAACAACATCAAGCTGACTTACTTGTAAGTTTGGAGCCTGCCTTATTGAGTAAAGAACGCGTTAAATCCATACCACTTCAGCGAGAATATCATCAGAACTGAGCAGCGATTTCAACATTTTCCTTAGCCCCATCTTAATTTCACTGAATAGTCATCTTTTCAATCACTACCTTCCTAAATCTCGCACGATAAGTTTCCTCGCACAAAAACTGGCCAGTTTGGTTGAAAAGAAAACTCAGTAAAACAAAGACAAGCTTCTATAAAATATCATGTGGTGAATCGAAATTGCAAAGCGTCAATCTCAAAACTCTGTGTAATGGAAACAGGAACAGGTCAAATGAACAATGAGGTACTCGTTAACTTACCAATTATATAATACATCTTTGTGGTATGAAAGTCACAATGCTCATACCTATCATCAATGGTGCTCAACTTGCAATTTTCTATAGGTCAACCTTTTCATAAATATTCTATATAGTGTGAGGGGACGAGACGAAAACTTGTCAGTTGCACGATGTCAGTTTTTGAATGCTCCCTATGAGAATTCCATAAAGTTCTCTCAACAGAACAATGATCTCTTCAGGTCAGACGTTGTGATAATCAGTTTTGTATGCCGCTGCTACATTGATCACAACCCAGCGTATCGGGAGCTAAGGCGGAAATATTTCGTTTTTGGTAGTTTCCTAAATTGTTATTTAAGTTGAAAAGACGATTGCAATTCAGGAAATGCTACAAAGACAGGCTGACCAGCCAAAAATTATCAACGCAAGGCCGTTGGTGATGAGTCATAATATATTTGTTGTAATAAGAAAGGTCGTATAAGCAAACCGTGTGTTATTAGTGTTAAACAGGGCATTTTTAGATGACTCTAACTCTCACTGATAATTATGTTAACGATTGTAATGTCATTTTTTTAAGTATTCGGGAACACGACAAGGATATTAGACGGTCGTTTTCTATGGTGAAAACTTATTGCGAATGCTATTAACTTCCATCTCTCTCTCTGACATGCCTTTTGCTCAAAGTTTTTCCTCACGCGATAATGGTCTAGCCAAACACGACCAAAGGCATTCACTTGTATTGAATAATTTTTAATAATGATAAAGAAAAGCACGAATAATATGTTAGTAAATCCTTGACGACATTGATATCCTTTTAGCTTAAAAAGGGGATTGGACAATGGTTTATGGATGGATAGTTTAAAAGATATCCACGAAAGATAAGCGAAACTTGTTCGTGGAGTTGACAGATTCGCCCGAAAATATAAATTCATTGCTGTTTGAGTAGCCTTGGTTCTTAACCAAAACATTTCTAGCCACTTAAAAGTACTTCCTTGACTCATTTGTTGATAGGTATTTGGAAAACAACCATTTGGAAGACTTGCCAATATTCACTAACAATATCAACCTAAGAATCCTGTAAGTCAAAAGTAAAAATAAAATTCTTCCTAATTTTTATCCTACTGACATCTTAAAAGGAAATCAAGAGGGGATAACCAGGGAATGTCTGGAATACTTGTATCAGATAAAGCATCACAATAATTAGACTGAGTCGACAAATTGACAAAATGTACTATTGTTCGTTATATCAGTCTTAAAAGACCTGGCATCCACCGATGCAAAAAGGCTAAGCTTTTAATTCATCTACATGAACGAGAGATATAGTTATTCATTGTGCGGTGATTATCTACCTTAATGAAATGGGGCTAATGATAAGATTTATTAATCCATTCAAGCGCTTCTCGGCCTAATTACTTTTCGTGTGTTGAGGTGAAAAAAGCGGTGGTGAGGGGAAGGGACGATGGCCACTAGAGGCTTATATTTGCCTCCCGAGGGGAAGAGAGTTCCATCCCTTGCGTTTGATTTAAATCTGCTATGTAGTATACGTTTGTTAGTTACATAAAATAAATATGGCGGCTCAGCGTTCTACCGTCGACAACTCTGCGGACGACACCACTCTCAGTTTCTCATCCGACGTGACAAATGGACTTCTCGGCATTACATCAGCCCTTCACTAAGACCTAGATGACCTTTCGCAGTGGTCGGCTACCAAAAACATGCTCACGAACGCCGCCAAGACGAAATGTCTCTTCGTGACCGGGAAACGCCCTACAAATAAGATCGTCGATGGTTCATTAAATCTTCATCTTGGGAACTCAATTAGGGTGGATGGTAAGAGACTCCTAGTGCTTACCATTGATCGACACCGAAGTTTTAATATTCACGTTGAAGAACTGTGTAAGAAACTATCCCAAATAATAGCAGTCAGTGCTTAGGAAGATAAGAAGATTCCTCCCCATTGAATAGCGCATATCACATTACAACGCCATGATAAAACAACCAGTGTTATGTGGTTCAACTGCTTAGTCGAACTGTTCAAGGGAAAACATAACGAGAGTTTTCATGCTTCAAAATTTAGTCATCTTGGAAGCTGACACAAGGTATAACAGTGTGAAACTCTTTAGGAAATTAGCGTGGCTCCGTTTCTATGACGAAGTTAAATTAAATAAGAGAACTTTAGTCTTTAAGCATTTACAAGGAAGCTGTCCTGCTTATATGAGCGATCGCAATTTTAACTCAAATTTAATGCAGACCTACACAGAAAAACTGGTCGTTATAGTAAATTAAATCTCGCCTGCCCTCGTTTCAGTCGGGAAACCGAGGGAGGGAGGACCTTTCTGTGGAACCAGCTACCCATTAACTTACGACAACAGTTGCTTCTTTCAGAAAGGCCTTTCACAGACTTTTCTTATCGAGCTATGATGAAGTAGAACTTTTCAGTTCGAATGCGATTTAACCTGACTCAAGCGGCATATTTTATTTTATCTAGTTTTTAGCTTATATCCATATAGGCCTGTCGACCAGTTTTATAATCCTCTGATACATTTGAATTCTAATTATGGTGCTTTTAGGATAGAGGGCCAATAGTTCATCAGTTGAATTACTATTGCTGTTGTGTGTTGACCTCCTTAAATAAAGTTATCATTATTATAATTATCATTATTATTATTATTATTATTATTATTATTGTGGAGCAAAGATCATCAAGCTGAAGAAGAAGAAATTCGAATTCAAATGAAACGAAGTGCCACTCATAGGACTTGTGATGATGAAGAGTGGATTGAAGGCAGATCAAAAGAAATCATACGCAACAATCAAGATGGAGCGACCAACAGATATGTCAGCAACACAGATATTTACAGGGCTTGTGAAGTATCTTTCTTAATTTCTTTGAAACCTTTCAGAAATGTGAGAGAGACTATACCGCCTGACATGCAAGAATTTCGAATGGATCTGGAATTATGAACACAAAGATGCCTCATCAACGCTTTTTTCAAAGCACCAGTACTCAAGCACTTCAGCGAGAGTGACCTAATAGAGGGCGAAGAAGATGCTTCCAAGGATGGGTTTGGCTTTTTACAGATGCAGAATAGTAAACCAGTAGAATCTGCAAGTCAGGTGGCACCCCCGATACGAGAGAGGAAGTATTACCAGATCGAGAAGTAATTTTTGGTCCTGGTCTTAAGCATGGAGCATAACAATTAATATGTGTTCGGTGACAATTTCATCGTGCAAACTGATAAAAAAGCCCTGCTCTTTATTATGCAGAAGCCCCTAGCATCAGCACCCAGCCTTGTCGCCACTTCAGGGATGTGACTATGAGATACAAACTTGGGGAAGCTATCCTGCTAGCCGGCTTTCTATTAAGACCTGTCGTAAAGGACTTTGAGCTTTCCCCCCCATTAGAAGTCGTTAAAGGCATTCGTACCAACCACTTCCTTTCCGTTCCAGATCACCAATTCAATGAAACCCAGAGAGAGAGAGAGAGAGAGAGAGAGGGAGAGGGAGAGAGGGAGGGAGAGATTTGTGACTCAACACCACAGAGGTTGCAAAACACAATCTTGGATGGCTTCCCATATGTAAAAGATGATCTCCCAGCAGCCTCCCATCCAAGCCACTCCAGCTGAGGCTCAAATATTACCTAAACAACTGGACAAACCCACAGTGGCAAGGCCAAGTAAGGGCCAGGTTCTGTCTGGAACATCTGACAAGCCCCAAGTAGTAGAGGCCGGACCACTAGATCTGTACGGTTGTCAAAGCCATCAAGTTACTTGCAGGATTATGCATAAGTATAATCGAATGGCTGCCTGTAGACCACTGTCTTTACCCATCTCATGCAGGACATGAAAGAGTTATGTTCTTTGGAATATTTGTGCCCATAACTATAAAACGTAACCTAAAAGCAGTATTACAAAGGTACTTGTACATCGGTCCTGCTTGAGCCAAGGGTCAAGAGTCAAAGAGGTCAAGAGTCAAAGCCACTCAAAATCAAAGGGAAAACTACTTAAGAGGAAAGCTAACTTAGCTTAGCTCCACAGCAAAGCAGTGCTCGTTCGCCGATGATGTAGGTAAGACAGGCTCTACTATGGAAATGAAGAGATAGTGGGACATTTTGAGTACCCTGGGTCCAGATTTTGGTTACCTCTTAAACAACAAAGAGCGACTTATTATTGCAAAGCCAGACAAGAAAGAAAGTGTGAAGAAGTATTTGAGGAAGCGGACGGCATGCTTCTGCCGCTTAGACACGCTGCAGAAGCATGCTATGCCACTTCACCTTCGGCTAAAAACATGGGTAGGCTTAATTTCGTAAAAAAGGCTGTGGTTATCCATCGTGGTGAATGGGTAGACTTAGTTTCTAAGAACACTGCCCGACATCCAGGATCGACTAGAGCCACTGCAGAATGTGATATCTCTGATTCCTATTCCTGCGATAAGGGAAAGCAAGTATAATTGGCAAAATAGAGGCATCCTAACGCTCCTAGTCCGGTTGCAAGGTTCCTGTGCATTACAGTTCCAAGCTGGGAAGCAAGTCGAGAGCTCGCTTCTTCAGTCAAAGTGACAAGGCCCCTTGTGGACCATATCGCATCTTCAACGCACTAGCTGCCAGAAGAGTCTCTTGTCAAGTCGGCATAGAACATAATGAGCTCCGAAAGAGCAGAAGAACTCAAAGAAAGAGCAGAGAGGATTA